GCTTTGATGGGAGGCAGGGGCCCTGCCATGGGACTGTGTGCTTTTTGTGCAATGTTTTGCATCAGCGCCTACACATCTATTCCTATGGTGTTTTGTTGGTCATTCAGAATAAAAAGTACTGCGTACAAAGTACAAAAGTACAAAGTGTTATTGGTATTTGTTCTAACCTATTGAGAACTATAAATCAAGGGTCTGCTGATGTTTTTATGAATGTAAGAGGCGTGTTGCACTAATGGAAATTACATGTAATCACAAATGAGGAGGACTCTCAGGAGACATTAAGGAGCACTGAGGTATTAAATATCTAATGTGTACAAAGACAGAAAGGAGGAAAATAACTGTAGCTCGTCAGTGGAATGACTGAATTAGCAAATTCAGCAGATACACTATCTTTGCACTAAGGTCACACAACGAGCGTGAAACTTCCCTGAAAAAATATATGACCTTGTTACGTGAAATGTGATTATTTAGTTCTCCCACCCTGTACTGGGTAGTGAGAGAAACGGCTCTCCTTACATTACTCCTTCAGTCTTTTGGCACACATACCCACCTGCAAAAGATCTCTCTCTCTGAATATTTAATCATTTGCATTAAAACAAAAACATTGGTTAAAACAATTGTCAGAATGGGGGAAGGTGAGAATGATAAGCCGAGCTACAGGGAAGATCCAGAGGGGACTGAATTAAGAGAGGCTATTGGCCTGGGTTACGTCTCTAAGTATACTTTCTATTATACTCCTATTTTTCAAGTACTGACAGCACCCCAAACCTACAATTTTTAATTTTAATTGAACTATAAATCTTACAGCCATTCCTGCTGTTCTCTATGTCTATGGACATAGCTTAGTATACCACACTATTTTTAACTTAAATTTAAATTCTAATTTGAAACAGGACACAGTCATTGATTTAAGGTAAAGTATATCTTGCTGTTTTWTGACAGTGGGCAGTTTGATATGCTTTTTCTGCATGTGTGCATGCAGACACATACAAATTATTTAATTGGAATAATTCTTCTGTAAGAAATTACCCTTTTAGATGGTTTTACTTAATCTTTGCAGGAAATTTTCCATTACACTACTTTAAAGGTCCTAGTCGAAAGCACTTTGAGAGCTTCATATTGGTGCCAACAGTTTTCATARTAAGTTAACAAAGGAAAGGTACGGATCCCAAATTTGTCCTTCTGCAAAATTCTTTTCTCAATTATTAGGGAAGATGTTTACTGCTGGGCTCAGAAATTCACCTACTGATTGTGAGAAGGAAATACCGCTGTCTTTTTATTCAGAAGAAAAGGTGTTTCCTGGTTATGGTATCAAGCAATGACTAGTGTCTGAGATAAAATTTGTAGCTCCCTGAACAGAAATAAAAATGTAATGTTAAAATAAGGCCCCTGGCTGAATCTACTTTGAGTATTTGTAATTAATTATCTATAGATGAAGAAAATTAGAACAGAGTTTAAAGCTGGTATGTAAAGGAAAATGTAACAGACATCAAAATTAACTGCAAGAGTTTTAGGCCAGTTTATTAGGTTGTCACTCTTGCAGCATGTAATTTAGCAAATGAAAAGTTTCTCCTACTTTCATAGGGTTTCCAAGCGAAATACTATTTCAGATGCTGGCACTGCAAGGAAAAGCTTGATTAGCTGTTCAACTAACAGTTTTTTTAAGTGTAAACTGTGCTTCCAAGACAAAAAGACTTTTTTGAGCTAGTGGTGGGAAGCTGAGCAAGAAAAAATGGCCGTACCTTTCAGAGGCAGGATAAAATAACTCTCTGGAAGCCTCAGAGTGATAGCTTTGTAGATTTTTAGTTCACACATAGCTTATGTTCTACTGTCTAACTAAAAAAGCAATCAGCACTTTAAACCAAAGTATAGTTCTGTTTGAAATGTTGGTATCTCACATGTATTTAAATTGTACTGTTCGAATGTGTTAGCATWGCTCTTTTTTTGTGCAGTTTAGTGCAAGTAAAATATAAGGAAAGGAAATGTAGGAGAAAAGAGAGGGGTGTGATTCTGAATTCAGGAGCTAAGTTATTCCAYTAGTTATGAATGGCTTTAGTCTTTCCATTCAAGAGTAAGAAACAGTAATGAATCAAGAAGACAGAAGCTGTGTAAAACAGATGTAGTTTCAGAACAGTCAGAGAATGTGATTATGAAAGTAGAGAGAAAAAATTTATTTAATGTACCAGAGCAATGAGATACTTTCAGAGTTCTGTTCAAATCAATGCAAGTTGATGCAGAACAATCTGATGGTGAAATATGAATCACGTCACGAGCATTCAATTCTGTCAGTAACCAAAGATCTGACTTCCCTGGAAATGTGCGTTACTTTCTCAAGAAATGATCTTTACAAGATTTTTCCTCCAGTCTTTCAAACAAACCAATAAATATATATTGAGGGAGTAAAAACACTTCTGAGAAGCAGTTAATGAGATGCAATGCAGCAAAAACAACAGCAGGGATTTATGACTGCATGTGCAAAGACTGAATATGAAGTTTCATATATTCAGATTATATCTGTTGGTTGTTTTGACAAAGTAAAAGCTGTGAAACTGAACCCCAGCTTATGATCTGCATTGTAACACACATAGAAGGCAGATGGGGAATCACAGCCTTTTCTTGAAACTACCTAAATGTTAAACAAAGATAATAAAATAATAAATATTTTATTTACCTATGAAGTCTCTTTGGCACATATGCTGTTTTCCACTGCAGAGAACTGCTAAAGCATTAACGCAGGTCAGTGGTTACCAGAGCATCCCCCGAGTGCCACAGGATGGCAGCCTTTCAGAATATTGCAGCGCTGCTCTGGCGAAAAGCTTGTTTGATTTGTTGCCYGAGTATTCACGCATGCGCTATCTTTGGGCTTTATCTCTTTGGAAGAGCAGAACACTGCCCTGTTCGCAAATGTAATATTGCTGATTATCTGGACAGTAATGAAACCTGTAAGGCTGCTCTCTGCAGTACATCCTAAATCTTGAGCATGAAGCTCGGATTTAGAAAGCAGGCTAATCAAACATGCTTGTCTAGGGCCTCCTATTTGACTTACACTACACTTTGAGTCTGCAGAGTTAACCTTCTTCTTCAGGATTTTTCCTCACTCTATTCCTCCTACTACTTTCAGTTAAATTTTGCTAAAGAAACAATGGCAACTTTAAAAAAATACCTACATTATGAAAACAAAATATACTCCTAGCTGTTGCAGAAGAGATGCAAGACCATGCGCAAGCACACTCGGAATGACTCTGACAGCACTACAGCCAGCGAAGAAATTTTGTTAAGCCAGGGATGACTGCCAGTATTGGAAGTGTGGAAGGCTGGTGAGATGTCAAAATTATTACAGCCTAAGTATGAATAGAAAAAATCAATTGAACCTACAGTTCTACAGAAGCTTACTACTGTGTTCACAGGATTAAAATTGCTAAGCTAAACTATTCTAGTAAGATCAGGATCAGAGAACTCTCCTTAAAGTCTGATGGTGAACTAAAAGAACAGATTTGAGGTTACACTGGTGTTTATGACTGTGTTAAGTATGAAAACTCTATTGATGAAAATAATACATATTGCCACATAATAAATATGTGCCACATATCTGCACCACAGATGATACTTCACTGCATGCTATATATTTTATCTTCTGCTGGGAAAGCGCAGCTCACGCTCAGTACTTGTTTTCACAGTCTGCCATTTTACAGTTAACACATTCTTGCTGAAGGCAAGGCAAGGTGGCCCCTATCTTGAGCTGACCAGCAGCTGACAGCTTCCTTGGGAATTCGTTGTATTCTCTGATCTTTAGAAACATCAGAGACAGACCTGTAATGCACTGTTTAATAATTGCTATATTCAGATGCCATGTAGATGATCTAATTAGAAGTCAGCTCCATAAAATAAATGGTAATTTAAGGTAGAGTGCAGTTGCATGTAGCATTTGTAAAGATTTCTCAGTGTTATTCACTGCAGCCTGATGCCATATATGGGGAGTGATGGTAGACTCAACGCAAAGTGAGACCAAAGCCAGCAGCAGGGGAATTCCCACCTCCAAAAATCTTCAAATATTTCCAATTAACTATCACAATGCAAAAGAGCAGAGGTTTTGAAAAAGGGGAGCATGAGCACTGGGATGTTCCTCCTCTTCTTCATCTTTCATTAAAACATTTGCTTACTATGGCCTCATGAGAACTTAATGTATGATACAGTTGGTGGTTTTAAAATATTCTTGCAGGTCTTTTAGGTATTAATTAGCTGGCTTAGTATAATTGCCTGCAGAAGACTGCATTATTTATTTGTAATGCCGTGGGCCTGAAGCTCTGCCATGCAGCAGGATCTGCACAAGCACAGGAAGTAGACATTAAGCTCAACCAACAGGACAGCTAGAGCTGCTTTTGCAGATTTTGCTAGTCACATAATTAGCAATAGAAAAGAAAAAAACAACATTTCTAGATTTTTGGCTACCTTCTCTGGCCCTACAATTTCATCAGCTCTGACAAATACCTGCCAATCTCATGAAGTATATGGGCTATATGAAGTATATGCCCCATGAAGGCTRTATGACAACATGGGCTGTAATGCAAGCGAAACCGGGGACAGGAAGAGAGGCTAGAATGGGGAACGGAAAAGCCACACACAGGAGAGAGAGGCTCTACTAGCTCCTCAGCAGCAAGGATGCTGACAGTGCAACTGTCAATCACGCCTTCAGGATGCAGGTGGTACTCCTTTGTATGCAATTAGGGTTAAAATGAAACCTGCAAACTAACTGTGTGATCACTAATAACTTTTGGGGTTTTTTTTTGGTGCATAACATTATTTGTTAACATATTACATGCTGAGATGCCTTGATGTGTCTATTTCTGTTTTTWTTTTCTCTAGAAATGATTCTGTAAGCTAATTATCTTCCAAACTCAGTGCACTTGTGATGCTGTGGGGCACTCCCTCAGTGCTTAAAGCCTCCATTTTGGGGCTGCCTCCCTTCTTCATCAAGGTAAGTCTCACAGGAAATCAAGTTMGGTTCTTCAATTGCTTCCCACCAAGTAGCTGTCTGTTACTTTGGGATTATACTATTTTAATGCCAACAATCCAAACTTCCTTAAATTAACTAGTGGCATCTGCCTGAAATTCCAAGCTCTCAGAAGGGAAAGAAAAATACAAGTGGCGCTGTGTAAGAAATTAATTAAAGTCTTGCCTAGAATGCTCTGAAAGCAAATATATATATATATAATGCATTGATAAAGAAACACAATGCTACTCACAAATTTACTTTTTTTGCAATAATATGATTTGTTGATAATATTGATTTGTTGATGATAATATTGATTTGTTGATGATAATATTGATTTGTTGATGATAATATTGATTTGTTGATGATAATATTGATTTGTTATARTAGGTCTATGTTATAATAGGATATTGTGAGATCCCTTAAAACCAGCAAACATTCACATTTCTCTTGAGATACTGGGGAGGAATATATGAAAGTATTACATAATCTGCTATTGAAAAACACAGTATATTTAACTTGTAATATATACGGTGTCACCTATTATTATTTGGAATTATTTGAAAGAGGAAAAGAAAAGCAGTTGTTCCAACAGCATCCTTTGCTTTTTCTCTTTGTGTCCTGTTTGAAATGTCATACCTTATGAAACAAACCTGACTATTGAATGCTGTCTTCCATCTTTATTTCCCTTGCATATCCACACKGTATCATGTCTATATTACTGTTAAGACAGCAGAAAGCCTTTTTTCTTGGGGGAGATACAGGGAAGCAGGTTGAGAAGAGCAGAACTAGTCCTCCACAGGCTGTTTAAGTTAAGCTGAATGAGCCTGTTTCAGTTATGTCAGGAATGGTTCTATTCCTACAGTATAATCTGTGTTGAAAGAAGAGTAGTATCCGGGTTTACAAGGCACAAGAGGCTGTGGAGGCCAGGAACACCAGTCTCTCTCTGAGTCAGTATTCTTCCTGTGAGCGTGGCGGGTGCTTCCGTTTCGCCCASGGACAGAAGGCCACTGGTGGTAAGAAATCCTGCTTCTGCAGCTACCTTTCAGTGAGCGTGTTTRGAGAGTGGGTGGGAGTGCACTTGGTACTCCTCGCGCCACACAGAGACAAGGGCGTACGGGAGAGACTGGTGCAACCACACCAACAGGAATGGACTTAWTATAGGTAACTGGGAACTGAAAGCTGAGAAGGGCTTGTGGTTGTCTGGTTCATTTGGAYGTGATCTGTGAATCATGAACCACCTTCCTCCGTGGGAGGTAGGTRCACTGTGTGGTGGGGACCTGGAAAAGGAGCAGATCTACGAGCCAGAGCAGCTGCTTCACTCAAAAGCTCCTGCCCTTTGCGGCCAGAGCTGTAGGATCAGAGCTCTGTCTGATGGGCTCACACTTGGTGGGAGAAGTTCYTCAGTGGAGCAGTGATGGCAAGTGCTGGGAATTCTTAGGGGAGAGGAAGGAGACTGGGTGGAGCATCTTCAACCTAGGTGAGGTGATGCTCTCTCCTCCAAACTAATAAAACACAAAGCTGCAAAACAGCACTGCTATGGCATGTCACTGCATGCTGCCCCACTTCAAATACTGCCTCTAATTGTTACTCTACATTTTGCTTTAAATTGCAGATCTCTCTTTAAAAGAAAGAAAAGAGGAGGGGAAAAAAAAAAAGGCATGGCAATGTAAGGAAAGAAATACCAGCTAATTAATACAAATAGCAGTTGTAACAATAAGAAATTACTTCTAAATTTAGCATAACTGACTTGGCAGGGAATAAAAGCAGAATCATCTCATTGTGAGAAAATATTCACAGAAAATGTTAATCATGGGAGGAATGCTGAATTTTTTTTAAATCCTCATTTTTATACAACTTCAGTAGTTTTCTGCAGAGCTATATTCTACAACTGCAAGTGTAGGCTTGTTGCAAGCTAGCTATAATTTGCACACTTTAGTCTATGGAAGCAAATTTGAGATTTTGGCTTATAAATCGTCTGTGGTTAGACAACTCCATCAAAATACCCCTCTGAAGGCAGTCATTTTTTTTCTGTACTACACTAGTGTGTTAAGCACTGTTTTTATTTTGAGCCTAAGCAATATGAGCAATTGCCATATTTCTCAATTYGCTTGGGGAGGCTTGACCACAGCTGAGCAGAAAAATTCACAAGTTTCTTGTATTMACACAGTAATTGGCATAATTATCCTGAAAGGCTCAAAATGAACTCCTGAAGAAAGAGASACAAAGTAAGATGGTGCAGTATATGGTATAAATTCCAACAGCCAGTAATATTCTAATTCAATTCCATGATTTCTAATGAAGAAGTATTTGGTTTGCTTCTAAGAGGAGCCTTTGTTTTCTGTTAAGCAGACTATGTASGCCAGAAGACTCTGAGAGGCCAACACCAGATGGCTGTGTCTTAACCTCCTGATGCAAGAGGGTCTCTGCATGTGCCTGTGTGAACAAGCAACAGGAACATTCCAGTGGGGTCAGGTGGGCAGCACAAACCATAGGCAGCTCCTATAGGAAACAAGGKTTTTTTTTTTCTTTTTATTGTTGTTAGTGCTGTTGTTTTTAAAAGCTTATACCTGCAGCTGCTTCTTCAGCCAGTATTTTGCTGCTGTATTACTATGTTGTATTTGACAAAGCATCTGGTGCATCTGGATAGCCACCCTTATTTTTTTTCCCCCCCCCTCTATGTCGGGTAGAAAAAAAGAATTAACCTTCTGCAATCATTGCTTTACTAATTAGACAGGCTAGTCAATTTTTATGGTGTTTGGGTAGAGTCCTAATGGATGAATTCTATTATTTATTTCATGAATAGACAGCTTGGACTAATGCTTTGGGGGTTTTATGGAAGCATCTCATTTACATTTGGGGATTTAATGCTTTTATTAATCCTTTAATTCTTATGTTCTGGTATGATGTGTGTCCTTGCATAATTTTCCCTTTGGAAATAAAGAACCAGCATGCATCCCTCCTGCCCCTGCTGCAGCCATAAAGTCTCCATCATATTTTAATGGCATTAAATGTACTTAATAGTTGTCTCGTAGATTACATGTATGGATGTCAAAGGACAACAGTTCATTTTCTGACTTGCTCTTATTAATTCCTTCTGTAGCCAGATATCCTACTTTCAGTCAATGTCTCATGTCAAGATATATTAGAAGATGCATTATTGATCTCCTCTCCCCATCCTCCTGCAAGTTGTAACCTTAAACAGGTCTGTTAGCAGAGGTATTTCRGGCATTTTTTTCCTGGGATGCTATTCATGCTCATATCCAGTAGTAGCAACTACAAAATGGAAAAACTGATTTGAGTCTTCTAGTTTTCAACATCAGATTATACYGACATACTTTTGTTCCTCGTTATATTTTGTTCCTTGGTGTATGACTATTTGTCATAGCCCTGCCGATTTTCTTCTGTCTTTGTATTTTCATTTGATAATTTCATAGAGTTTTGAATTACATTTGTCTGGTCTTCAATGAACTCATTTTAAGGGTCTCGTTTGGCATCTTTCGTAGTTCTATCTCCTTCTCCCCAAATTGTTTTTCTATCAGTTTCTTWCTTAAATTCTCTTTTAAAGAGAACAAATCAAAATTGGAAGACACTCCATTTATCTTTCCACTTTTTTCCCCTTTGCTCTTAACTACTAACTTCTTCCTGGTATTTTGCCTGTGATAATGTGTATTTTCCTTTGGAAACATCAACTCAGTGCAACTTTACACCAGCCAGAGAAAATTTCTGCTGCCATGACAACTTTCCTCTGCTTTCTGTGGCTCTGCTCCAGAGATTAGGCAATCCGATTATGGTGAATTGGAGCAACTGGACTGAAATATGAGATGCTGACAGGGATAACTGGTTTCTCTTSTTTTCTTTATTCAGAGGAAACCCTTGAACCCAAGGGCACCCCCTTAAAACTTTAAATCTTTCCGCCTTTTACCCTTGGTGGTTTTCAGTGCTGCATGTGCTAATTGGCTACAAGCTTAGGCATYAGAAAAAGGAAGGGAAGGAAGCTGCAAGGACAAACATATTTATTCATGTCCTGGAAAAGCAATTCCTTGCTTCTAAGGAACGCATTCTCCAAGGATTAAGGTGTTCTTGTCACCTGTCCACATCATGGTTGATGACTAGAAATAAATTTTTTCCATACTTTAAGTGTTTTAAAATGAACATAGTAGGGTTTTTTTTGTGTGKGGGGGGAAATGTTGAATCCTGCACCTGCCAAGTCAGCTGAATAGTCTTTTGCTACTGGTATTTACTAGGGATARTGGGGGATCTGTAGTACAGTGGGATCTGTACTCAGATCTGGACTTGCTGAGTGATGGAAAGAATTTTGGCTGCATCTTACTTTAATGCTCTTGAGCAGAATTTTGGTTTCTTTCCATGTGCTTTAGACAATATCTGTTTGGGTACTGCCATCTGGCTTCCCACAATGCTGGTAAAGAGGCACTAGGAGGAAAASAATATAGAACACAAACTCTGTGAGAAATGCAGTGAAAACCATGCAAGAAAAGCGAATGTTGAAATATCTCCAACATTTTAAAATTATACAACTCAGTTGYTACCATAACCCTTCTGCCTCTTTTTACCTGGTGACACAGATTTRCAAAGTCCACGCATCCAAGAAAGAGAATGCTTAATTACTATATGCAATTTTCTGTGTAAAGTTATCTGAAAATAATTCCTACTGTTTTGAATACTTCAGTATTAGGTAGTTTTCTGTAACTCAATTACACAAGGAACATAGTTTATGTCATTTATGATTTGACAATGATTGTGGTTATTTTTCATATTTGCCCAGAGGATTTTGAGATAATCGTATTCTCCAATGAGCTGTAAATAGTGAAGGTATTTACAAATTCTTTGTTCTACACTTTTTTTAGCACTGTGCCMAGCTAATATTTCTCTTCTTTTTTTAAGCAACTCATAAATATCTGGTAATTTTGATAAAGTGACTGCTAACGGGAAGAAACTGGGAAAGAGCCTTTGAATAGCTGAGGATGGCACAGATGGAATTCTGTGTGGCTTTCCTTTTTAGATCCTTCAACACCAAACCCTGTTTTTTTATTGTTTTTCGTTGTGCTTTTCCTCCCCTCCTCGCCATCATGGTCTGCAATCACGAGGCTCAGTGTATCCTATGCATTTTTCAAGTTAGTCACCTTGCGGAGTTGGAGTCACAAGTCTGCAGCAGAAGTCTCCATTATTAAAAGYTGAAGTGCCTCAGGATATTATAAGTCTATTTTTAGTGCATTAAAGTAACTCAGCTGAAACATTGTTTTAATTCCTTTATTTTTSTAAACAAAAATAAAAAAGGGGTAGACCAAAAGTTGAGATTTTTCAATTATGTTTAGATAAAATATAGATAAGATAGTTAAGATAGAGAAAAGCTTCAGTTTCGTTTCAGTACCTTCCTATCTACTTACTTGTACTACATGGCAGTTAAAATTAACTTGTGTAGTTGAAGTATACATTGGACAACTTGGATTGGTCAAGATTTATCATATGGCATGTTAAAGASAAAAACATGTAGTATCTGTAATCAAAACTTTTAAAATGACTGTACAAACAATATTAAGATATGAGTTTTTCCAAGCACTTATTGATATATGAATACATAACACTACAAACAACAATCCAAATGAAATTCTGACAGTTTGTCATATCTTGATGTATTTTAATAGACTCTTCCTGCACCAAASTGTAATGTTATTGCAAAGAATTCTAGTGTAAATGCATCCTCATGGTGATTTGCACAAGTGTGACTACATTTGTAAGTAAAACCTTCATATGCTTAATTTACTAAGAACGTGCTTATGACCAGGCTTACCTTCTACTCACCTTGCATTCTTTATACAGGTCTTGTAAAACTACGTCAGGARTAACACTCAAATGATGGAACTGCTGCTGGCACTTCTGGATTTGAGGTGTGTAAATCACAGGASAGTGAGGAAACACATCTTGGAAAGTTACGGWTTCTTACTGACCCAGCCTCRTGGACTGTTAGAAGCAAAGCCCGTWTAAAATCTAGTATAGCCTGTAAGAACTCGCAGTGCTTCGTACAGTTTAACACCTTCAGCGGAATGAACTGCTAATAGCATGTAACAATTTATAAAATTTAATGTTAGAAATTTATATGAAAAACTATGTAYTTCATGTTAGATTTGCTAACTCACGTGCTTCACGTTATGGTTCCCTGCTTCTTACTCCTTCTAGGACTCCTTCTAGTGTCTTCTAGTATAGCATTATAATTTTTCTCTCTGGAGGAAAAAAATAAACACAAACTTTCTTAGTCATCTCACTCATGTGAGGTGATTTTTGGCAGAAACTCACTTTTCAGGTTGGTCTAGTAGGTAGGAGCTTATGTGTACAGCCTGTAAATCATGTATTCATTTGCCGAGTTTATTTGCCTGAGTACCTCCCCAAAATGTTTTACTAGGCACATCTATTGTGAGTAGAAAAAAAAAATGCGGATTTTAATAATCGACTGTTAGGTTGCCATGGCCACTTTTGAAATACCAGTTCAGCATGAAAGTTAAAACATAGTAAAAAATAAAACAAACAAACAAATCCTGTGCAATGATTTAATGATTTTTAGAAGTACAAATCTCCAAAGTTTTTTTTCTTTTAAAAAAGTGTATTTGTAATATTCAACAGTCATTGATTGTAGCTGTGCTGCTGTTGCACAGTGAAGTATTTTCCTTTATTAGATTGGGTCTGTGTAGGAAATAAACTTAAGCTTTTCTTTTTTTAATCTTTTTTCCCCCCCCTCTCCTGCAGGTATTACCCATTTTAGAGTGAAATTTCTTGAGTGTATGCACAGGAGTCTACTACAGGTAGATGCGCCCACCCCAAGAGCGTTAGGTCACCACGACAGCCAGCTCTGTACCCCCYGTAACAGAAGCTGAATATGCCAATGTTTTTGTAGCTTGGGGAGATCCACAAAAGCCAAATCTTCTTTTTTGGCCATTTTCGAAGTGTGATTTATTCACCAATGTTCAGTGTTGGTACTAGGATGATGGTTCCTTGAAGGGGATGTCCTGGGTCCAGGGCATGGACTTTTATTCCCATGCTTCCCTGTTTTTCGCYTAATAATCCCTTTTCAAAAGCCTCTTAAAAAAGAATTAGAGAGGATTACATATTATATTTACTGTATAAAATACCTGTTGTCAGAATCCTGGCGTGTTTGGCAGGTTTCTGAAGAAGAAAGAAGACCTTGGCACAAAATGTCTGCCATGTCATGATTGTGGTGTGTGGCACGGAAAAGGCAGTAGCTGCCGAATTCCTATCACAAAAGGATTAGCRTCATTTGTGAGGAAACAAATGAGGGCAGACGGCGAGGGAGTGTTGACAAAGCCCGTCAGGGCCATGTACATCGAAAAGAAGCAAGCAACTGATGGCTTGGATTCAGCAGGCACATCCAGCGACTGCTAACACGGCAACGAAGATGAAAAGAGCAGACTGCCCGTCACCACAGAACMTTGTGGTATGTGGTGCTGTGCATGGTTGAGTACCAAAGGGAGTCCATTACCTCAGAACGCGCAGGGCTGAGTGCAGGCGGCAGGCAGGTTACCTCAGAACGTTATGCTGGATGCTAGGTGGGGAGGAACAGAAGAGGCGCAGCAAGTTACCTCAGAAAGTTCTCTGAGGTGCCGCGGAGGGCTGAGGGCAGAGTGGGCGGGGCTACCGCAGAAAGTTCTGGAATGTCGTGCCGTGAAGGGAGGGGCTGAGCGCAAAGGGGGCGGGGCTTCGGCAGAACGTTCTGGAAGGGGGTGACGTGTGAAGGGAGGGGCTGAGCGCAAGGGAGGCGGGGCTTCGGCGGAACGTTCTGGAACGTGGTGCCGCGGGAGGGGGTTGAGCGCAGAATGGGTGTGGCTTCGACAGAACGTCGTTATAGGTGGTGCCGTGGAGAGCGCCTGCTCTTATGGAGCTGTGGGGGGTAGTGGGCCATGTGCAGGGAGGCCCTGTGCAGGGTTATCCAGCAGGATAATGCAGTCGTTACGGCGTTTGCTTGGAGGGCAGCTGGAATTGTTTTCCTTCTCTCCAGTTTGACCTGAGAGAGGAAAAATGGCAGGTAGCCCCTTGAAGGCACAGCCGCATCCTGTTATGCTGTGTTAGTGCATGATGGTGCTTTGGATTATAGCTTCCGCAGTCCCACAAATGTGTGTGTGTGTGTATATATTTTATATATATATATAAAATATGCCTTTTTTTTTTTGCCAGATGCAAGTGTTTAGAAAGTACAATACTTATTAATCTATATCATGTCAAAACTTTGGAATGTGTCTCATTTCTGTCAATGCTTCTGTTTGTATTTTCTGCTTACTGCAGGATTTGCTGAAAAACAGCCCATTTCTGTCACATTTCTGTTCCAAGTGAGCATTTGGTTAATATTCTAAGTTCTATAGGTGACAGATCTGTAGTGATAAAAAGTTTTGAACAAAAAAAAAGTTGTACTCAATACTATTGTCTGCATATTTAATGTGTTATATGGATAATTTCTTTGGTTTGATAAGTAATCCGAAGAGGTAAGCGAGGAGAGTTTATTGGTAACTTCGTTTTTGTAGTGATATTGTCTGGTGTTATACTTTAACTGGTATGTGTGTGTGTGTGTGTGTGTATATATATATGAATATATATGTTTAACTGGTGTTATACTTGAGAACCTGTTTTCTCTGTACATGCGTGCTCTTTTATATAGTGTGAAAATGATAAATGTTTTCTTAATGAGACTTGGTAGTATAGTGTATACTTTAGAGGGCAGCATGTTTACTCATAGCTCCCTATTTGTACTATTTGCGGTGTGAATTTCTCTAAATTAGAAGCCTGTTTTTCTAGCCCTTTTGAAGATTGGTACAGTCTTCAATAAAGTTTGTCCATATCAAGGTATTTCCAGCTTCTACACTTGTATTTATTATATATTTTAGCAATATTTTCATTGAAGCAATCTCAGAAAGGTAGGAGGGGTATGACCCCCAATTTTTAAAGAAAGTCTTCATGGTAAAGTAACTTTACCATGCAACATTTGTTTGCRTGATGCTATTGTTGTTTGTCTTAGGATCTTATCAGGGGAGCACAATGTCTTTAGACATTGTGAGCTCTGCTGAGCCATAAAATGTTTATTGGGCATGCTTTTTTAGATGCTTTTCTCTTTTTCTGTCTTGGTGCTTCTCAGAAGCAAATTGTATACTAGTTTACATTAAAGAATTTGTTTGGTTTTGAAGTATTTAAATTCTTTTCCAAGTGCTGTCCATTMAAAAGGTAAGTTACTTTGTTTTCTGTTACTGGATTTTTTTTAGTTATCTTGTGCATTGCATTTATAATCTCAAAGCATTTTGATGAAAACTGGTACTATTATCTGCTGTGTATGGAAAAGCCTATTGCGATAATAACTTAGGTCTTGTTGCATAGCTGCTATCATTTCAGCTGCTCAAGCATTGGGACTATGCGAAGCTTTGCTGAATTATGAATTGTCTTGTGAAGGTTATCTCGGAGTGGTAAGATTTACTGATTTTAGATTTTTTTCTTAAATGTTGCTACTGTTCTAAACAGTTCTAACAAATAATTTCTTTAAACAAATAAATGCTCAAATATATTCTTGGCAGCACCAAGTTGCTGTTATTTTCCTGTCCTCCAATATATTTAGTATGTGTTGGAAAATCTGTTTCCCATTTATAAACAAATTTGAATTTTATGCGTTGGCGCTGTTGTGAAAGTACTTCTTTTCATTTTTATTTGTTATAGGTCACTTAAATGGTGCTTTATGTGAAGACTTAAAAAAATTGAATCTCTTTGCTTTCCTTTAAACCTTATTTTTTTGGAAGAGAATGGACTGAATGTTTCTAACTAAAGCTAAAATACTGCTAAATATGTAAGTATATAACTTCTTGTACAGATATTCTTATTTCAAAAAGCACTACATGTGTATGTTTTTTCCAAGCCAAAATAATCATTCCTGTTAATAAAATTCTCTTAATTTTCAAAGACTTGGTTAATATTATTATTTTCAAGGTATTAGTCAGTAGGTCTTCTTTGCTGTATTTCTTTTCATCTTCTTCAGAAAAGAACAACCCACAGATTCAGCATAGTGGTTTTGTATTTGAAAGTATAGTCTAAACCTTTGGCTTCCCTGTGAACTTTTTGGKTATGAACTATATTTGATCTCATAAGCAGAAAGAATACAACAACGGGATGCCTTAAGATGTCATCCATATAGTAAAGGGAAAATGTGCTAAATACCTGTGTCTGATGGTTGCTGGTGAGTGATAAAATGGAGCTGTGGCCTAATGTCAAGTAAGTAAACTTTTCCAAAGCAATAGCGCTTGGGGCAAGCATTTAATTCAACTGTGTAATTTGGGAGGGAGGGTGCCAGAGATGGAGTAGGTCCTTTATGCAGGATTTTATGGGACTGTCTATTGAGAAGCACATCTGTGCAAAACGAATGTTTTCTGTGTTATGTTTCACTTCGTACTCAGTGGTTTCTTAAATGCTGTATTGTCTCTACCACAGGAAATGGATCTTAAATTAATTTAGGTAGTCCCAATATTTGTGTTTTATTACCTGTGTATGTAAGGTTTGTGTACTCAAATTCTACTTTTTTTTTGAAAATGCTGTTACTACTCTGCTAGAATTAATGTTTTTTAACTAGCTAACCAGTTCATTGAGAATGGTTTTGGGAGTCTCCAGTTTTGAGAAGGATRTTGTCCTATAATCTGCATCCTGCTCAGTAGGATCTAGGTATGTGCGTAAAGAAGACATGATAACCGTGAGGTACAGCAGGTAGGATTTCAKTAGATAACAGGTAGGAAATACGCTATAGTACAACCTGTTCAAGGAGGCTGTTGGTTCTGAATTTAACCTGATGATAAAGTGTGGGGGATTTTTTTTTCCAAGGACATGGGGGGAAAAAAAAGGGACTCAAAACTTCAGTTCTGAACGAAGTTTGTGTTCGTGACAACTTTCTCTAGCTGCAAGTGTTTCAGAGACTTTGGATTCACTTGCTTGCATCATAAAATGTCTAAAAGTAGCCTCTTGTAACAAAAGCACAAAGGAAGCATCTAGAAAACATGTATCGAGTTCTTTGATGTTTTGCTTCTTCGTGGTTGGGATAAAAGTTTAATACGTAATGACTTTGGTAAAATGTTCATTCGTCACCTTGAAATACTAATTTGATGCCACCTGGGTTCAGGTGCCCTAATTCTCATTTTCCCTACTTTTTCCATAGTGCCCCTCAAGTGCTAACACTGAAGACAGTAGAGCAGTGGTGATACAAGTTCCATGAGTGTGTAGTTGAGGCAGCTATGACTTGTGTAACTTGGGGTGGTAGAAATGCTTTCAGCCAGTCTTAATGTTTTATACTTGTGTATATAAATACATATGAGGGGAAGATGGTTCCTTAAATATACAGTTGT